CTTTTACACTTGATAATGAAGTAAGACAGACACCAGCAGGTAGGTTCCAACACACTTCTTTTCTATTTAGTTTTTCTTACAGGCTTCTTCTAGCTTTTTTCTCCCACAATTTATAGACCCCAGCAAAATCTTTCAAGAAGTATAAAAGTTGTAGTATGATTACATCTTATTTTTCTTTCAGTGAATGATTACAATGAGTATATGTAAGAAAAGGATATTTCCCAATACCTCACACGATCAAATGTTTTATGTGTTATGGATGAAAGGACAAATATGAAAACCAAATTATTTCTAAGAACCCATACACATCTGTAACTAAATAGTGTGAGCAACTGAGGTAATTTCTCAGCCAGTTTTTTTTTTTCTTTACTGCAATTTGCAGTTAGAGGGAAAAAAATCAATTATCTTAAAAGGTAATCTTATTAAAAATCTTAAAAGAATCACAAACCTAAACTTTTATATAAAAAAAATCAACCACTTCTACTTTAAATATTTAAGGTACGCATCTACTCATTAACAGTTGTTATGAAATCATATCAGGAAGCTGAGGGCAAAAACAAGTATAAGGGAATGAATTGTTATCTTAGTCACCAGCCCAGCTTGAGAGCGTCAGCCATAGTCTCTGTTCTTTGTTCACCAACCTCAAAACGTCCCTGGCTTAACTATTAAGAGTGTACTTTTTCTTAACTTCAAATTGTTCGCTAAGATTTTCTGCATCACAGACAACAGCAGAAACATCTTTACCTAACCTTGCTAAACAGTCTATTTTCCTAAATTCTTTCTGAGGGTAGCGGTCACTGCTAACAATCTACATCTCGAGGTTCTTTTCAAGGGTGGCGGTTGAATCTTTGGTCTGCTCCAGAAGCAATGCCTGAAAGAGATCAAGCATTGTTATTGTGAGTGCCAGGGACACTGCCCAGTGAGGGGCTAGAAACCCCCTTGGAGCTCTCATACAATTCCTGTATTATGAAGGATGGGGTGACTACAAGGGCAACAAGCAGAGCCATGCTCCACAGCAGCGTGGAGTCCTCAGGAAGCGCAGTCGTCAGGGCTCTGCCTCCGGAGGCACACCCATCGTGGTTGTGCTAACTGGTGGGGCTGCATTTTCTGAGTTCTGGAGCTGTTTTGCTGTTCCTCTTGCATGGCCTTGACATGCAGCCTCCACAGAGACTGTGAGGTAGATACTATTGCCATGAAGTCCCGTCTGACAGATGGGAAGCATGAGCAATGAGCTCCCATCAGTCCAGCCATGCAGCAGGTGGGGTCTCTGTTCTGTTCTCTGGCCTGTGCTATAGCTGGGGTGTACATGAGAACACTGGGACACAGAGAAGGTAGGCAACTCACTTTCCACTCACGGCAGCAGCCTGGCCCCTGAGAGTCCTCTCCCACCCATCCCAGTCAGCTCAGGCTGAGGGGCCTCACCTTCACCACCTTGGAGACCCTCACACGGTGAGCAGCGCCTTGGAAGCATCTCTCCTTCAGGAAGGCACATATGATGTTGATGGCTTCTCTGACCTCGGTACGGAACCTGGTGTTAGGAAGGAGATGATCCTCTATGAACTTGTCCAGCTCCCAGGCTGGGGTTCTGCTGAGATCCATTCCTGGGCCAGGAGTGTTTACCGACTGCAGCATTTCCTCTGGAACCTGCTGCCCTTTATCTCCGTAGCTGGTTTCTATTTCCCAGGAAGGGTGGGGCTATGCAAAACAGACCCTGGCACCTGCCATGTCCAGTGCCTGGGCTCTCTGACGCTCTAGTGTTTACCAGCTGCATTTCTTGGGATTCTCAAGCCCTCAACACAGCGGGCTGAGGACCAGGAGGCATGAAGCATTTTAAACATATTGTTTCCTTCTTGGTCTTCTATAGTTACTAAAGAAAAATGGTTTTAAAGTCTTCTAGACATTTAACAGCAGCAACACACACACACACACACACACACACACACACACACACTTCGCTAAAACAGGAAGAACAAGTGAAAAAAATTTCAGAAGATTGTGTGCAATTTCACCATGGCTGTGATGGGTTTGTGACAGGTGACTGGTCCACACTGGGATGTTATAATGAGCTGTCTGTAAGGCCATGGCTGGCTTGAAGTTCAGCCTTCAGATCTTGCAGTTCCCTGGGTTCTCGGAGGCATGCCCATGTGGCACCATTCAAGGCATCATCCAAAACAGTCTCACTGGCCTCCACCCCAACCTCCATCTGTCCATACATAAAGGATGAAGGTTTCATATCCTCTCACATGGGATCTCAGCTCTTTGCCCAGGATGGATGTGAACTTGGGGATCTGCCACGTTGACCACGCCCCTTAAGTCCTGAGGTCACAAGGTACGACACTCTGCCCAGCTGTAACCGCTTGGATTCTCAGTCAATCGCCACTCTGCACTTCAGTAACATAAGGTGCTGACTTACGCCAAGACCATTATGAAGGAGCCTGTCGCCATGCCACCTTTCCCTGCCCAGCAGAAGTGGATGCTCAGCATGGCAGAGTGCTCCACCCCTGTGATCCCAAGTCCTGGGAGGCTGACAAAGAAGGTGGAGATTTCCAGGCCAGCCTGGGGTACGTGATGAGGCCCTGTGTGACAAAGTAATAATAATAGAAGCACACATACACACACACACACACACACACACACACACACACACACTCCTAAATCACCGTTGGAATCACTGCAGAGAACAAGGAACAGAATCCTGAAGAAATAGTCTAAACATTGGCTCTGCCCGTGGTTGTGCCCACAAGCAACGGGTAGCTTTAAGGGATTATTATTATTTTTTTTTTTTTGAAGAAGCAGAAGCTGTGGCTGTGTGGTTCAAGGTCAGAGGCCAGTCAGTCCTTCGAAAAAAGTACAGTCTTCACGGCCTGGTTGGTAATGGAGGATCCTTGGTGGGCCCTTTCCATGCCTGAGGTAACTACAAGGCTGACAGTCCCGCACACGAATGCCAGGACGGAACGATAAAAGGCCAGCCGAGGTCCTGAGCAGTTCTCGATGAGGGCCCAGCTAATTATGCCTTCAAGTATTCTATCACGTTTATTTCATGTGTATGACCGAGTAAAGTCAGAGGACACCTTGTAGGAGTCAGCTGTCTCTCCTTCCATCACATGGATCCAAACTCAGGCCATCAGGCTTGGTGACAAACACTTATTCCCACTGAGCCATATCACTGACCCTTGGTTGTTGTTGTTTTTGAGACAGGGTTTCATAGTCACATAGGCTAGGCTAGCCCTCAACTTACAGCAGTCCTCCTGCCTCAGCCCCCTGAGTGCCACTATGCCCAGCTCATCTATGCCACTTCTGAGCCCTCCCATGTGTCTAAATGAGTGTCACTCATCCCAATGAGGCCAACATCCTGGACAAGTCTGCCTGAGCCAGGGGGTCCCAAGCTGTAAGATCCTGAGTTACCCTCTTGGCCACATAGGAACAACTGACCAGCTCGGAGCACTGGCTTGTGCCTCTATAAGGACAAAACATAGTGAATTAAGAATTTTCCTGGCTTTTTTGTAGAATATTCTTTGAAATTTTCATAATATACGTTCAATGTGTAGTAATCAAAATCACCTTCCTTTGCCCTCCCCCACATGATTTCCCCCAAACCCTTGCCATATTTCCTGTCACTCTTCTAGTGAACAAATCACTGAATCCAGTTAGTGCTTTTCATATTCACACAGGTGTGAGGCCATCCACTGGGATGTAGGCAACCTGACAGGGACCACACCCCTAAGGAGAACTGACTCCGTCCTGGCTGGTTTCCATGCCAACTGATGCCAGCTAGAGTCATCTCAGAAGCAGGGACTTCAGGTGAGAAAATGCCCCTATAAGATCAGAGTGTAGGCTAGCCAGCAAGCAGCACCCTCCGTGGCCTTTGCCTCTGCTCCTGCCTCCAGGTTGCTGCCCTGTTTGAGTTCCTGCCCTGACTGCTTTTGAGGATGAACAGTGATGTGGAAATATGAGTGAAGTAAACCCTTTTCTCCCCACGTTGTCTTTGGCCACTGTGTTCCAATACAGCAATAGAAACCTTTCCTGCAAAAACGGCCATCGACTGTCAACAGCTCCTCAGCTAGAGGTGGGGCTCATGAGCACCTCTCCCATCCAGACTAGAATGTTGACCGGTTTGGTCTTGTGCAGACAACCTCAAGTGCTCTGGGTTCATGACTGCAGCTGTGTCCGGGAGACCCGGATTTGCCCCAGTCTTCTCCCACCTTTCCATGCCCTCTTCCTCCATGTCCCCTAAGCCTTGGGAGGAAGGAGGTGTAGTGTAGATGCCCCATTGATGCCCCACTCTACAGACACTGTTCTCTGCTTCAGCTGTGACTCTGTGTTAATCACCACCCACTGTGCAGAGATAACTCCTGCTGAGCCCAGGGAGCTGCACCAGTCTGTGGGTATAGAGATGCCCAGGGCAGCCTGATAGATACTGTGTTCATCTATCAACATGGCTGCCGTAGCTTCACCCCTGGGGACGGTGAGCTTCTAGACATGGGTTCTTGACCAGGTCTGAAGTACCTGGTAAGATTTTTCTCTTGAGGCATGGGCCTCAGATCCAATCAGAATGTGGCTAGTGATCCCCATACCATCTGTGCCACTGTGGCATGAATGGGTTTATCTTGCCAGGTCAGTTCTTATTGGCAGGGTTCACAGACAGGTAATACTGTTGATGGCTTTAAGTGGTAGAAAGAATGAACAATATTGTTCACCTGGAATGTTGTGGCTGGCAGAGGATGGTGAAGCTATGACGACATACAGTTAAAATATGTCCACATACAGTTAACCAGAGCAGATTTCTTTCAAGGTGGAGCAGAGATGTCTGCTCTGTGGTTCACAACTGAACCCTGGTTTTGCTGGAAGAATGAATCTTTCCCTTTCAGCAGAATTTGGTCCTGTCTGGTTGGCATGGTTGTGGGGTCACATTCTGCTTACTTATGGGGCAACAACTGGAAATGAAGACATTTTTCGATAGCTTCTGTAGTCTTCTTGAGTTCTGCTTTGAAGGTGACGCCACTTACTATAATCGCAGGCACAGGAAAATGTTCACCTTTTCCCAGCAGACGCACAGGATTGCAACAGTCAAAGGTGCCAGGCCTTTTCCTGGAAAAGTGGCACTGTCCCACAAAAGCCAGCACCCTGCTCCTCTTCTCTTTTCTTTTCAAGGATTGTAAGCAGTAGAGAGAGAGGGTGAGAGGGAGAGAGAGAGAGTGTGTGTGTGTGTGTGTGTGTATGTCAGTTAAATTCTTGGGTGCATATTCCTGATGAGCTGAACCCCAGCACCCATGTGCCTGCATCCCAGCACTGGGGAAGACAGACACAGAACAGGAACAAGTATTGCAGGCCACCTAGTCACAGGTAACCACTGGGCTCCAGGTTCAGCGAGATACCCTGACTCAACAACTAAGACGGAAGATGATAGAGGATTGACCTCTGACCCCAACAAGCGAGCACACACATATGCAGAGAGACAGGTACACACACATGCAGAACCACGAACAGATCATCTCAACAAGCCCTGAGCTGCCTGGAAGAAAGGAAATGAGGAAAGAGGAGGAAACAGAAAATGAAAGTGCAGGAGGGAGGTGACTCAGCCAGGCACGTCCTGCCTGCCAGTTCAGGGAGCACCCCTAGAAGCCTAGAGAGAAACGAAACTCTCCTGGGGTGCAGGTCAACATGGACCTGTACCGCACACCAGCCGGAGCTCTGGACAAGCTGGTGGCCCGCAGCCTGCACCCGCTCCCCGAGTTCATATCGGCTGTGCGAGGTGCTCTGGGGGCCCTGGACGTCACCCTGCGGAAGCAGGGAGCCCAAGGGTCACAGAGACCAAGGGTGATAAGGATCGCCAAGGTGAGAGGGCGGGGCACCCAGAGGCAGACATCTGCAGGGTCTCCCTGAGGGATGGCTCAGGGGTTGCTTTAAGCAGCCTCTCTGTGGGGAAACTGAGGAATCAAGCAGCCAAGTTCCACATGCAGGGTAAGGGCCCAGCCGGAAGTTCACCAGGTACCCGAGTGCATTCTATGCTCTCTTAAAGGCTGCCTCATCCACTCACTTACTCAGACTCTTGACCTCACACTGCCTGAGCCTCACTGATCTGAGGCTGGCGGGGAGGGGTCACACACTCACACCCACTGGGACCCAATCTTTGAGAAAATGCTAAGCAGCAACAAACATGACCTGGCTAAACCCACACCAACACCCTCAGTCCTCATGGTTCCTGAGGGAGGGATTACTCCCAACTTCATGAATGGGGAAACGAAATCTGGATTCAGTTAAACTACTACCCCAAGCTACACTGGGTTACTTGAGTGTTGTGCCAAAGTGCCTCTGTAATCTTTGGATGCTCAGAGAGCTGGGCAGACATGCTGTGATCTGCCTTAAACCTGGGATGCAGGGCCATCATGGGGACCTCGGAGGGGCGGGGTGAGCCTAGGGCTTGTCCTGGGTAGGTCTCAGGCCTCCTGCTGGCTCCTGAGGCTGCATCTGAGCTAGGGGTGTGGAAGGAGGCCTGGGGCCTGGGAGATGCAGAGCTGCCTCAGTCTCTCAGATGTGGCTAAATCCTTTCTGGGGAATGGGAGATGAGAGCAACTTCTAGCCTCCTCCTAAGGCCCAAGGACAAACAGAAACAATCCACCAAAGGTCACTCTGGGGAGCCAATGACCCTACTGGGCCTCCTTACTGAGCCTAGAGAAAGGGGTGCTTACCTTGAAAGGCCTCACCGGGAAGTCTTCACCAGGAGGGGTGAGGCCTTCCGGAAGCTGCACAAATGTCTCCCCATTTCCCTCTCTCCCCTTCCCAGCCTATATATCCCAGGCCAGAAGCAGTTAGGACAGAATTGCACACAGCAAGTGCTAGGGAGCAGCTGGGTACTCAGGTGAGGGTCCATGAGGGATGTAAACACTCAACAAGCCATCATTTCAGACCTGACTTGGCCCCTGAGTACTGGGATTCTGAGTGTGGGCTACCACAAGCCATCACAGGCCACCACAGACCACAACTGGCTAGAAAATCTTCTCACAGATAGAACAAGGAAAGAACAGGGTTAATGGGTGAAGACCTTTAACCTCCTCGTGGCATAGGTTCGGAAACCATAATTGATCCCAGTACTGTATGGGAGGAAAAGACCCTCTCTCCTCATCACTGAGGTGTCAGCTGGGACCTCACTCTCCTCTTTTGGCTTCAGGGAGGAGAGATGAAGTAGCCCCTCCCTGTCTTTCCATGTTTCCTTTGGGAGGTTAGGATGTGGTGGTACCTTCCCCCCAGCATCCTTAGGGAGGATGGGGTGCTCACTGTGAGACCAGAAACTGCCCAACGACCATTTCCTCTGGTATTTCCTATCCCTCCACACACAATTCGAGGGTCAGCAGTGAGGGGCCTGGCAAGAGCCTCAGACTGAATGGGACCCATGCCAAAATCTGACTCTAGCTGTCCTGTGCTCAGGCTCACATGCCTGTATCTGCCACCATGTGTGGCCACACCAGGGCGGTTGTGTGCTGGGAGCAGATAACAGGGAGGGGCACAGACGCAGAGCATGGGGCATGGAAGTCTTCTTCCTGAGTTCTGGAAGCTCTGAGGCCAAAAACCATCAGAAAGTTGTGGGCACTAGGCCTGTCGGGGCATATTTCTGTGTTAGCTGCCACAAACAGGGTGACCTTGACCACACTTGGTTTTAAAGGGCTAAGAATGGAGGCCGAAGGGACATCTCAGTGGTTAAGGCCTTTACCACACAAACATGAGGACTGCAGCTCAGATACCCACAACCCACAAAAATGCCAGGCGGACGTGGTAGCCACCTGTGGCCCCAGCCTTGGAAGGCGGCCACTGGATCTTGAGCACAAGCTGGCCGGCAGCCATATTGGAGAGCTCTGGGTTTGGTCCCGGGATCCTGCCTCACTGAGGAAAGTGGAAGAGTGATCTGAGATGTTTCCTGACATCAACCTTGGGCCTCCACAAGCACACACACATACACATGTGCCCTATGCACGTGTGTGCCCACACATGCAAATGTACACACATGTGAAAGTGAAAAGGAGGGGGCTGGAGAGATGGCTCAGAGGTTCAGAGCTCTGATTGCTTTGGCAGAGGACCTGGGTTTGTGTCCTCACATCCACATGACAGCTCACAACTGGGTGTATAATTTCAGTTCCTGAGAATCCAGGACCCCTCTTCTGGGCTCTGCAGGCACCAGGCACACATGAGCTACACATACATATTCATACACATGAAGTAAAAATAAAGATTTTAAAAATAGAAAAGAAAGGGGTGGTGGGATTGGAGCCAGGCATCAGTGAGTCATGGATTTACAGATTAAAGTCCTTAACCTGAGCTCAGGCCTCACTGTCCTGAGCAGGACCCAGGCTCTGCCTGGTATTAGGTACCAAGAGCTGTGTGACTGCCCCTCCTCAGCCCACAAGCCCCACACAGTCTGTCAGGAGCCCCCATGGAAGGTAGAGCTGGAGCCAGTCCCCAGCTGTCTTTCTTCTTCACAGGGAGGAGCCTATGCCCGGGGCACAGCTCTCAGGGGTGGCTGTGACGCCGAACTTGTCATCTTCCTCAACTGCTTCAGGAGCTATGGGGACCAGAAGACCTGTCACACAGAGACCCTGGGTGCCATGAGGGTGTTACTGGAGTCCTGGGGGCTGCACCCTGGGCCTGGCCTGACTTTTCAGTTTTCTGAGCCAAAGGCACCTGGGGACTTGCAGTTTCGTCTGGCTTCGGCAGACCAGGAAAACTGGATGGACGTTAGCCTGGTGCCTGCCTTTGATGTCCTGGGTGAGGGGCCCTGGCCTGGTCCAGAACTGGAAGCACCATCATTAGGAGAAAGATTGGCCATTGCATTCTGACCTTCTGCCCACTTGCTGTGTGACCGAAGACAGCCTCTAGCCCTCTCTGGACCAAGGGTTTCTTGCCTGAATGTATCAGATTGAGGCGCGGAGGAGCAAGGAAGGCCTAGTACCCCTGGGTCTGTGGTCCTGGGGCAGGTGCCTGGCCCTCACTGGGCAGCTCTGGCTTCCCTCAGCCTTGAAAGCAAAGGCTTTTATGGTGACCCAGGCTACTCTCGGTGGCTTTATTGAGAATTCTGAGTTCTGTAAGATGCTCTACCTATAATACGCGAGACGTATTCCAGAATACGCCATCATCTGAATATGAGAGTGACAAAGTACAGGGCCGTTGGTCACCTGCGGCCAATTCCTAATCACAATAGCCAGGCCCCTGACACCCCAGTCTTAACCAGAAGTTCCTCTCTGTTTAGTCACCTTGATATCCCACTCTTCCTCTCAGCCCCCAACATCCCTGCCTCCAAGTCCCTCCCCCCAAGTCAGCCGCCATCCCAGAGACAGACTGAGTTCAGCGCCTGCAGTGCCCTTCCTAACCTGCCATTCTTGCTGCCCCCAGGACAGCCCCGCCCTGGAGTCAAGCCCACACCCCAGGTGTACTCCTCCCTCCTCAGCAGCGGCTGCCAGGCTGGGGAGCACGCAGCCTGCTTCACAGAACTCCGAAGGAGCTTCGTGAACGTTCGCCCAGCCAAGCTTAAGAACTTAATCCTGCTGGTCAAACACTGGTACAGACAGGTGAGGCGGCTTGGGTGAGTCCTTCCTGCAGCCTAAGACTGGTTGGCCCCTCTTTGTTAGTAGCCATCTTATTCTCTCTCTGGGAAGCACCTGCTCTGTTCTTTGTCTATGGTTTTCTCTTGTGAGCTGCCTTCTTGTTGATTCCTTGGTGCTCTTTACATACTGAGGATACTGATCTTTATTTACTTACAATAACGCGAATGTGTTCTCCCAGTCTGTGGATTGTACTTCTGCTGTCTTTAAGAGACATTTGTCATTGAAAATAGTTGAACTTAAATGTTAGCAGGTATAATAATTTCTTCGCTGAATGATTAGTTCTGTGGGGATCTTAAGATGTCTTTCTCTACCCACACTTTCTAATGAATCCCATGAATCTTCGCACAAAGCGTTCTTGTTGAGCTTTTGGTAATGAGTTTGGATCCCCCAGCCTCTGAATGGCTTCCTGATCTGTTTACTCTTGTTTAGCAACTCAGATGCAAAGGTGGTTTGTGGGGTGCCCTGCTTCTGCCTGGAAATGAGGGAATAAGCTCCCCCCCCAAATCCTGGGACACATACCTTGGCTTCAGTAAACCACTCATTGTAGGCAGGTCTGGGTGTAAGAAGATTCTGGGTTCTAATCCTGATCTTTATTTGCAATTTGGCCTTGGACAAATTCCCAGACTCCTTTGGGCCTCTGTTTCTGCCACTTGCCCCTAAAGGAACACACAAATCTTGGGTTCCTCCCACACAAGTAGGAGTCTCCATAGGCAAGGCAGGTCTCTGGACCCAACCTTAGGAGGAGAAGAAGGGGGAAGATAGGACATTTGAAGCCAGCGTGGGCCACATAGCATGACTCCCTTCAAACAAACCAACCAACCAAGAGAGCCGAGTGTGGAGAGGCATACCTGCCACCCCAGCTCTCGTGAAGTAGAGACCTTGGGGTTCAAAATTGCCCTGGATTGCAGAGTAAACCTCAGGACAACCGGGGTTTCGTGGACTCCCCTTTCAAAAGGACAGGAAGATGAAAGGGGAGAGGAAATCAGGCCACACTATGGAGCCAGGCTTCCTGGGTTCTAGAAGGTTCTTCTGATACCTGAGTGGTGTCTGTCCCTGTGCCCAGACTTATTGATGTGCCATACACCCAGAAGACAAGGCAAATGGAGGAGAGCAAGCCTCTTCTGGACAGGCAGCGTGTCTCCTTTAGGGGCACGGGCCCCTCCTTCCCTAGTGTGTGGGGTCCCAGGGACACAATACAGACTCCGAAGTCATGTGTCCAGATGAGGAGAGACAGGGCCCAGAGGAATGTGTGATGCACACCCACCCAGTCAGCCCTGTGCCACAGGAAACAGCGTGACTCCTTGGCACCCTTTTCGCTGGGCGCCCAGTGTACCATCTCCTTCAAGCCGACCTCTTTTGACTTGGGGAAAGCAACCAGCGTCAGGCTCCCTACTGGCTTCTCTCTGGCCACCCTTCTCCTGGGCCTTGACTCTCATTCCTTCCGGTCCCCTCATATCAGTCAGAAGATAAGAAAGACTGGGGGCAGGGCTGCTGGGCCCTGGGGTAAATGGGAGGAAGCCCCACACTGCCCCAGGTTCAGGCCGTGGAGGGCTGCGGCGCCCCAGCTCTATACACCCTCACTGAGCCAAGCCTTCCCTGCGGCTCCCAGGTACAGACGCAGGAGGCCGTGAGGGCCACGCTGCCCCCCAGCTACGCCCTGGAGCTGCTTACCATCTTTGCCTGGGAGCAGGCCTGTAGGAAGGATGCCTTCAGCCTGGCCCAAGGGCTCCGGACTGTCATGGCCTTGATCCAGCAAAACAAGCACCTCTGCATTTTCTGGACGGAAAACTACGGCTTCGAAGACCCCGTGGTTGGGGAGTTCTTGCGCAGGCAGCTTGAGAGGCCCCGGTAATTGCTCCCCTCCCCTCCCCGCCTCCGCCTGCTCTCCTGTCCTTCACGCTAGAAAGTAAACTCTAGGGGGAGTTAACAGAACCATACCCAGGGCTCATGTTGTTGTACCTGTTTGACTTGTGACACTCATACACTGAAGATGGTTCACACGTGTGAAGCCACCACCTAGGCCACAGAACCGGCCTAGCGTGGCAGCGGGCCCTTCCCAGGCAGCGGCACCCCACAGGCAGCCCTGTTCTGATCTTCATCACTGAGTCTTGACTGGTCTTTAAGCCTGACGGACAGAACCTGGCAGCGTTGCCCTGCTATGTCTGGCTCCTCCTCCTTCACATTAAGCCTTTGTGATCCATCCATATAGTTGCGGCTGACCCTTTGTTGATGCAAAGTTTTTCTTTGTGTGAGTTTGTCATGCTATGAATTCCATTCTGCTCCTTGGGAATTTGGGGTCTGTGTAGGGAGGACTCATGAACAGGGCTGTTGTGAACAGTTTTGTGTGCATTGGTACGTGTGAACCAAACGACTGTGTACACCTAGAACAAAAACGAACCTATGCATCCTGAATGTGGTGTAAATTAGAGTTCCTGGGGGCGGGCCCTGTTTGCTCTTATGTACCTCTGCTGTGTAGCTGAATGCCTTAGGTTTTGTTTTGTTTTGTTTTTTTCTATTGCTATGAAGAAACACCATGATTAAGGCAACTTATAAAGCTTATAAAGGCAAAGCGTTTAATTGGGGCGCACAGCTCCAGAGGGTGAAAACATGGCAGGCAGCATGGCAGCAGGCAGGCAGGCATGGTGCTGGAGTAATAGTTGAGAGCTCACGTCCTGACACACAGGCAGGAGGAGGCAGAGGGCAAAGAAGAGGGATAGCTGAGGGGCTGAAGACAGTCTTTGAAACCTCAATGACCACCCCTACCCCCAGTAACACTCCTCCTCCAACAAGGCCACACCTCCTAATCCTTCCCAAATAGTTCCACCAGCTGGGGAACTAGTATTTAAATATGTGAGCCTATGGGGGGTTGTTCTCATTCAAACCACCACCCTGGAGTTCAGGACCTGGCTCCGGCAGAGCAGGGGATGTCATCCTTATGCCAGTGAGGAAACCCAGGGCCAGAGGAAGGAGGTTATCTGCCCCCACAAAGGGACAGGTCATCCTCCTCACTCTGACCCTTCTCACTGCCCGGAGCCTTCTTGTCTCTGGAATTACAGGCCCGTGATCCTGGATCCAGCTGACCCGACTTGGGATGTGGGCAACGGGACAGCCTGGCGCTGGGATGTGCTGGCCAAGGAGGCCGCGTCCTGCATTAATCAGCAGTGCTTCCTGGAGGCATCAGGAGTCCCAGTGCAGCCTTGGGAGGTGTCTGTGAGTAGGGGAACAGCGGGCACCTCAGGCTTTTCGCTGATGTGCCAAGGGTTATTGGGTGCAACGGTCGGAGGGCGAGAGTGTCTCACCCGTCATCCAGCTCGGGCCTCGGGGAAGAGCTCCTGTGGCGATCTGTGGTGTCCTCTGCTCTCTGGGTTTGCCCATCCTCCTAGAAGCCAGCAGGGCGTCTGTCTTGCTCTACACTAAGGCACACAGCTCCCATAATTTCCTCCCTTCCCCAAGCCTCAGTCAGCTCAGCTATGGTCAGAGGGTCTGAGAGGAAGGCTGGGTGGCGAAGCCTCTGCTCCAGCTGCTGAGGCTCGGTCACCACCTCCCAGGGCCTTCTCCATGCTGGGATTTTGGGTTTGGACCACCCCATCCGACGAGGGCCTAACGAGGCCCTGGAAGACAAGAAAGGCCATGGTGCTGTGCTGCCAAAGACAAGGAGCCTGCAGCCTTCCGATTCAGCTCCAGGGGTCCCAGAAGCAACCACCGAGGCTGTTCTGCCCACAGCCTGTAAAGCCAGCAGAAGCCTCAAAGCAGCGCATCCAGGGACCGTCGGGAAAACAGCACCGAGTGTCTCAATTCACGTTAGGATCACCCAGAGCACCCCATCCTCAAACGCACCTCCCCGCCGCTCAATCGCAACCAGCGTCTCCACCGCTGGGTCAGAGATGGTCCCGGATCTGTCGCAAATCCCCAGCAAGGAGCTGGACTCCTTCATCCAGGACCACCTGAAGCCGAGTGCCCAGTCCCAGCAGCAGGTGAGGCAGGCCATCAACGCCATCCTGCGATACCTCCAGGAGAAGTGTGTACACAAAGCTTCCAGGGTCAGCAAGGTGAGTCCTAAGGTGAAGGTGCTGTTGGGATGCCTCCCCGGAACCACGGTGGGCAGAGAGGGTCTGCAACAAAGCCAAGCATGGCCCAGGGAACCAGATGCCCAGGAGCTGCGGTTTGCTGGCTGGATGTAGACCAACGGGCGCTCCTTGGCTTCAGAGGGAGTCACGTCCTAATTTGAGTTGGAAACAACGGTGTAAACCAAAACTACCTTTATGAGTTTCAGCGTCTCCATACGTCCTATGCCATGGCTAGACTGGCTTGCCCTCTGGTGTCCCATGCTTGCAGGAGTCTCTGCTGGTCATGCTCATCTGGCATGGTGGCCACACTGCTGGGCCACGGAAAGTCAAGCCAGTTAAGCTTGCTTTTGCTTTGTTTTCTTCTCATTCATTCATTCATTCGTTCATTCATCATTATTATTATTCTTTAATGTTTGGAACTTATGTTTTTGTTTGTTTGTTTGAGACAGTGTCTTACATGTAGCCCAAGTTAGCCAGGAACTCACTATGTAGCCCAGGTTAGCCTCAAATTCCAGGCAATCCTCCTGCTTCAGCGTCTCTAGAACTGGGATTGCAGATATGGGCCACCATGTCTGGCTTGTTCTGCTGTTAGCACTACAGTTTTGTTGTTCATTTGGTCTGTTGTCTGACTGACACCCGGGTCTTGCTACCCCAGGCAGTGGCTCTCCCACTGAGCTACACCCCTAGAAGGTGTCTAGAATTTTGTTGCTGCTTTAAAATCACTGTTAAAACAATCAGATCACTTCTCTCTTGCTCTCAAAAGTCTCCTGTGTTTCCCCTGAGGGCTTCGGGGCCAGTTCTGGCTGCTTCTGACACTCTCTGGTCTCACGCTGACCACTTCTCCAGCCCTAGGTTCACCCATGGGCTCATTATGTTCTTCCCTAGAACATGTTCTCCTTACTTCCCCCTCCCCCTCCTCCTCGGCTGGGCTGCCTCACACACCCGCCCTCTGTTAAGACCTGTCCAATGACTAACCATGGTATTTAAAAAAAAAAAAAAAAATCAATCTCACCAAGCCTGGTGGCATATGCCTGTCATCCCGGCACTTAAAGGGCGAAGGCAGAGGTTCTTGAGTTCAAAGTCAGCCTGGGATACATAGATGGAGAGATCCTGGCTCTCTCTCTCTCTCTCTCTCTCTCTCTCTCACACACACACACACACACACACACACACACACACACACACGAGCCAGTGTGTGCAGTCTGAGACTCCAGTCCCCAGCACCTTTCCAGCCCTGGCAGATACTAAGCAAAGCCCAAAGCCAGGGAGTTTCTGTTCGTCAACTATAGCGAATTAAGCTCCTGAGCGAGTATGTGGGTGAGAGCTGAGTGGCTGGCCGGGTGTGAGTGGCTCAGCAGAGTACACAGGGCCTCACTGCTCTCTAGGACCTGGACACTCCCCCTTCTTGTGGCAGTGTGCTTAGAGGCCACAAATGACAAACGGGGATGGAGCAGCCATCGCCTAGCCTCCCTCCCAGTTACCAACCACACGGTGGTCCGACCCAGCAGGCCCCTCAGACACAACTCAGCTCTAAGAGTTGGGCCCCTCTCCTCTGTCGAGGTTCAGACCCAGCATCACAAAAGTCACATCCCTGGAGGGTTGGGACTTCTGGACAGTCCAATGTCTGAGCTGCACTTTCCTCCACAGGGCGGCTCTTTCGGCCGCGGCACAGACCTCAGGGGCGTCTGCGACGTGGAGCTTGTCATCTTTTACAAAGCCCTCGGGGACTTCAAGGGCCAGAGGTCCCGCCAAGCAGAGATCCTGTGTGACATGCAAACCCAGCTACAGGTCTGGTGTCGGGACCCGGCGCCTGGACTGAGCCTCCGGTTTGCTGAACAGAACAGGCCCAATGCTCTGCAGCTCCAGCTGGTGTCCACAGACCTCAGCAGCTGGGTGGACATCAGTGTGCTGCCCACTTTCGATGCTGTGGGTAAGACAGTTGCAGGTCCCCAGGGGACCAGAAACCGTGGAACGGGGTTGGGGTAGGGGTGGAGGGAGGGCAGAAGGGCTCCTGTTATACTCCTTGGGATTCACTGAGCACTGAAAATCACTCTGGACGATCTTAAAGCAACCATCAAGCCTTCCTCAGAACTAGCCACCTTTGCAGCTGTTTGAATGTTGCCTCCCTGTTTTCTCTCTTCTCTGCCCTCGGGCTATTTGCCCTGTCTCTGCTGTTCTCTTGATTTCCCCATTCATTTTATTTTAAACTGGGTCTTGATAAACAACCCAGGTGCCATCCTCTTCCCTCAGCCTCCCAAGTCTTCTGGGATCATAGGTGTATGTGTCTGAGTCCAGTTTCAAATTGTTGGGTTTTTTTTTTCCTTCTTTCTTAATTTTTGTTTTATGTGTATGAGTGTTTGCCTGTATGCTAGATGCATGCAGTACCTGCAGGACCCACAAGGGGGTGCCAGATCCCCCAGGCTAGAGTTACACAAAGTTGTAAGCTGCCCTGTGGGTGTCAAGAATCAAACCCAAGCCCTCTGCAAGAACAAGTGTTTTTAACTGCTGAGCCGTCTCTCCAGCCCCCCTTTCAGGTCATTAACGTGCTAAGTTTCCCATCCTTGGGACACGTCCCTCTACAGTGCTGGATCACGTCCTCATTGGTGACTTGTTACGAGAACTCCGTGGGTGGATGGGACATTCCTCTAATCCACTGGATGAGAGTTAGATGAGAGCCACCTCTCCAGCCTCACGGGCCCCTTTTACACATGAGAAAACTGAGACCCGAAGGGGCAGTCCACACAGCCCACCTCGCTCCAGAACTCATTGCAGAGTTGGGGGGAGGTGGTGAAAGCTGTGAACCAGATGGTGTATCCCTATAATCCCGGCACTTGGATAGCCGAGGCAGGAGGACCGCTGCAAGTTCCAGGCCCGCCTGGGTTACGTCTTCTAAGACAGATTGCCAGTTGGGGTGTCATCTGATTTTCTAGCTCACGGCTGGCGGCTGTGTGGATCATTAATGCTCCATTACACCTGAGCCTTCCGTGGGTGAGCTGGTGACACGCTCTGGCTCTGTGCTTCTGCAGGGCCACTGAATGCCAGCACCAAACCCCAGCCGCAGGTGTACTCGTCCCTCATCAGCAGCGGTTGCCAGGCGGGGGAACATGAGGCCTGCTTTGCAGAGCTCCGAAGGAGCTTCGTCAACATCCGCCCAGTCAAGCTTAAGAGCCTGATGCTACTGGTCAAGCACTGGTACCGCCAGGTGCGCCCTCTCGTCCCTCCCAGGGAGCCGCCATGCTCATGGTCTTCACCTCCCAGGGCCCGCACTTTCCTAGTTGTACTGCGTCCTGCGCAGGTTCTAGAACCTTCTTCCTTGCGAGCCCTTCTCTGAAGTCTAGCCATTGACAAAACCAAAAACCAGCTCTCCCCTTAAAGGGGGTGAGAGTTAGTTTAACCAGTCACCAAAGTCCATGTTCCGTGGGGACAGTTCCATGGCATCTTATGGTAACAGAATAAAGAAAGCTGGGAAACCAAGATGGACACATTGCAGTCCTCATTCAGGTACACTCCTTGAGGGAAATACCACCCAAATCTGAGCTCCCTGTCTCACAGTCTGACCTGAGACAAGTCACCACCCTCTCCCTCCAGACCTCAGTTTCCCCATCTGTAAAACACAAAGCATCGTCCAGGTCAACTCCATGACCAGGTGCTTCTGGGGTTCTCTTTTACCCTCCCTCTGCTTCCTAAAGCTCGAGTGCCAGCTTAGAGTAGGCATCCACATTGACTGACCTCTGGTTGGGTGACAGGTTACCACTCGAGATAGAGGAGGAGAGGCAGCGGGCGCCACTCTGCCCCCAGCCTACGCCCTGGAGCTTCTGACAATCTTTGCCTGGGAGCAAGGCTGTGGGGAGGAGAAGTTCAGCATGGCTGAAGGCCTGCGGACCATCCTGAGGCTGGTCCAGAAACACCAGTCACTCTGTGTCTACTGGACAGTCAACTACAGCGTGCAGGACCCGGCCCTCAGAGCACACCTTCTCGGCCTGCTCCGGAAAGCCAGGTTTGTACTCCACAGCGCCTGCCCCAGCCCCCCTCTTCCTGCTCTCTCCTGGAGACCACTACCCAGGAGGGAGCTGGGGTAGGCTTTGGGTCACCCATCCTGCCCTCCTGTTTGCCTCTGGGTTCTGATGAGGAAGCATGGACACAGGTGCCCCAGAGGACCCCAGAGCCTATTTGAGCAGCACAATAAAACACCATTAGAGTTAAGGGCCAAAAGAGCTGGCTTAGGCTCCAGCCACCATTCCTTCTGGCCCCTGAGTCCCATTCTGGCCCCTCCCAGCTCTCATAACTGACCATTCTTCCCTGTTTCTGCCTGCTCTGCCCCCAGGCCTCTAGTCCTGGACCCTGCGGATCCCACCTGGAACGTGGCCCAGGGCAGCTGGGAGCTGTTAGCTCAGGAGGCAGCCGCCCTGGAGTCACAGGTCTGCCTTCAGAGTGGGGATGGGACTCTGCTGCCACCCTGGGATGTGATGGTAAGAGACGGGGCCCAGGGCCCACTGCGATGAGCCACAGGGTAAAGTGCTTGCCCCCAAGCCCAACAGCCTGAGTTCAGTTCCCCGAGCCCTCATGAAGGTGCAAGGAGGAAAATGACCTCACCGAGTTGCCCTCTGACCTCCACAGATGGTCTGTGGTACAGGCATGCATTCTCCAAGGCACACCCACACTCATTCTACAAGGCTTCATCTCTTAAAGGTCCCCCATCCCCACTGAGGACCCAGCGTGCAATACATGACTCTTTGAAAGACAAATCATATCTGGACCACAACCAATAAAATCTTAGTTCCTTAACACGCCAGAGCCACTAAGCTGGGGAGGAATGGACATACCCAGTTAAAGGTGGGGAAACTGAGGCCTCGTGTCAGTGTCAGAAACAGATCAGGAACCCAGGACCCTCCCGTGCTACTTCAGAACACGCCATCCAGAGGGGAAGAACCCTTGGGGCATCACTGCCTGTGGCTGAGGAAGGACAACACTTGGGTATCCCTGGAATCCTGCTCCGGCCAGCCCCGCCCATTTCTCTCCACAGCCAACCCTCCTTCACCAGACCCCAGCTGAGGACCTGGACAAGTTCATTAGTGAATTCCTCCAGCCCAACTCCCACTTCCTGACTCAGGTGAAGAAAGCGGTTGACACCATCTGCTCCTTCCTGAAGGAGAACTGCTTCCGGAACTCTACCACCAAGGTGCTCAAGGTGGTCAAGGTGAGGCCCGGGAGCTGCAGGTGAGGGAGCTCCTGGGGATGGGACCCCTCTCCAGCCACCTGGTGGGCTCTTACCATGTCCATGCCCACAGCCAAGGAACAAGACAGCTGGTACAGCTGGAAGCCGGGGAGTAGATCCTTTTCAGGCACAGCGCGAGCCGGGGTCATCCACAGGGTACCGGCAACGGCTGTTCTTTCTGGGTTGGATTTTTTTCTTTCTTAACTATGAACACGAGAAATTTATCAGCAGCCCTCCTGACAACCGACCGTCTGATTTCCAAAAAAAAAAAAAAAAATCTACAAAATCTATTATAATAGATTGATGGAGACCTCATTGTTGACCTCTGACCTCCACCTTCACACACGTGTGTAGGCTGTGGAACACCAAAGGGCACTTCAGGGCTTAAGCCATCTTCTGTGTTCTCCCCAGGGCGGGTCTTCTGCCAAAGGCACTGCTCTACAGGGGCGCTCAGACGCTGACCTGGTAGTATTCCTCAGCTGCTTCCGCCAGTTCTCGGAGCAAGGCAGCCATCGGGCTGAGCTCATCTCAGAGATCCAGGCTCAGCTGGAGGCGTGCCGGCAGAAGCAGCACTTCGACGTCAAGTTTGAGATCTCCCAGAGGAAGAATCCCCGAGTGCTCAGCTTCTCGCTGACATCCCAGACGAAGCTGGACCAGAGTGTGGACTTTGACGTGCTGCCAGCCTTCGATGCCCTTGGTGAGGTTCCCAGACAAAGGCCAAGAGGAGGGGAAGAACACGGGCAGAGTGGATCTGGGCACTCGTAGGGAACTGTGCAACCAGTAACTAAGGGCACATAGTGTTCGTGCAGAGGACCTGTCTTAGCTACTGTTCTAGTGCTGGGAAGAGACGCCATGACCGAGGCAACTCTTACAAAAGAAAGCATTTAACTGGGAGCTGGCTTACGGTTTCAGAGGGTTAGGCCATTATTATGGCAGGAATCGTGATGGTGAGCCAGGCACTGGAGAAATAGATGAGGGCTGCATCCTGACCCCCAGGCAGAGAGAGAGGGAAAGAGAGAGGGAGGGGGAGACTGACTGGGCTTGGTGTGGGAATTTAAAACCTCAAAGCCCACCCACTCAAAGTGACACGCCTACAACAAGGCCACACCTACTAATCCTTCCCAAACAGTCCCACCATCAGGTGGCTAAGCATTTACATATATGACCCTCTTGGGGGGCGGGGCCGTTCTCACTCACACCACCGCAGGACCCGAGTTCACTTCCCAGCACCCACATCCTGAATGAGACCGGCAGGCATTCTGACTCTGCGTAGGGCCTGGTTCTTCTTGTATAAACTGGTCTGGTCTGCTTCCACTTAAGTCCTCAGAGCCAGCATGGTGCTTTCAGCCCCCTCTCCCCTGTAGTCCTCTTACTCAGAGAAGGCTTTTTGTCTAATGACTACCGGAGCCCCTCCCTGACAGGGCTGAGCAGGCATCAGAGGAGGTTAAAGACACCACATCTTAAGCTAACTCTCAGCCAAGACTTTCTCCATGGTGGATAGACAGGCAGCTGAAAAGGAGCCAGCCAGAGAATTCCACTCTCATAAGGGATTTAAGCTGGACTGTGCCTCCCCCCCTAAAAAAAATACCCGTGACCTGTCCGTGAGTCTCAGATCATCCTTAGGCAAGGAACACTAAAGGACTCTCAGACCAGATTTCTAAGCTGGCTCACGTTGACTCCCTGACCTTCTCTTCAGGCCAGCTGAGGTCCCACGCTAGGCCTGATCCCCAGGTCTATAGAGACCTCATCCACAGCTACAGTAATGCGGGTGAGTTCTCCGCCTGCTTCACGGAGCTGCAGAGGGATTTCATTATCTCCCGTCCCACCAAACTCAAGAGCCTCATCCGGCTGGTGAAACACTGGTACCAACAGGTTAGTCCCAGGGGCCACCAGCCACCCCATTTCCTCACACACACTCACAGCCATGCTGAGTCCCAGGCACTGTGTCCTATAATACTTTCCTTGGGGAGACAGGATTCTGTTTGGCCACAAGCATAGCATGTGAGGTCCATCACATTCCACCCAGAAGACCTTAGTCTTCCTGTCCATAAAGTGGGGTCAAGCTAGACCTAGTGAAGGCTTGTCACCTCAAGTTACTTAGGAGACTGATGTGAAAAGATTGAAAAGTCAAGGCCGGCCTGGGCTACAGAGTGGGTTCAAGGCTAGTCTAGCCAACTCTGTAAGCAGCCTGTCTCAAGAAGGGGCAGGTTGGGGTGCATTTGGAGGGGTGCTGACAAAGCCTAGTGTGTGTGAGGCCCTGAGCCCCGGCTCCAGAGCACACCCCCTTAATAAAGTAGAGCTGACAGATTATGTCCATGTGCCAAGGGATGGTGCCTAGCACATGGGTGCTCAGTTAAGCTTTAGGGCTCCCGGGGACCCTCTGACTCCTATGTGAGGCGTAGCAGGGGCTGGCAGACACATCTCCTTTCTCCTGCTCCCTCAGTGTAACAAGAAGCTCAAGGGGAAGGGCTCCTTGCCACCCCAGCATGGGCTGGAGCTCCTGACGGTGTACGCCTGGGAGCAGGGCAGCCGGAACAGCCAGTTCAACATGGCGGAGGGCTTCCGCACCGTTCTGGAGCTGGTTGGCCAGTACCATCAGCTCTGCATCTACTGGACTGTCAACTATAGTGCAGAGGACGAGACCATTGGTGACTTCCTGAAGATGCAGCTTCAGAAGCCCAGGTTCGGCCACCCCCAGACTCCTCTACCTCAGACCCATGGTACCCATGGTTCCCTGCCTCACAGGGCAGAGGACAGGAGGGCAGGGCCCACTCTCTGAAACCAGGTGGCTTCCCAGAGTGGTACTTTTAGTACCTGAGGAGAGAGTCAGTTTCCTGGTCGCCTGTCAGTGCGGTTGCCAGATGAAATTAATACAAGACTCCAAGTTCAACTCAGGTGTGAACAAGCAATGAATAGTGTGTTAGTCTGAGTGACTCACACAAGATTTGGGACGTACATAAGGCTTTTTACATTTAATATGAAAGCTGGGCTATGGCTCAGTTGGTAGAGGGGTGCCCTGTATACACAGGGCCCCGGGTTCCATCTCCACCACTGCATAAACTGGGTGAGGTGGTGCTCACGAGGTAGAAGGCTTGGAGAAATGGCTCAGTAGTCAAGAGCACTGGGCTCCATTCTCAGCACCGACATGGTGGCTCCTGACCATCTGTTATTCCAGTTCCTGGGGACCCAATGCTTCCGTGGCACTAGGCATGTATGTGCATAGACATACATGCAGACAAAGCACTCATATGCATAAAAGAATGAAAGGAAATCAAGAGGCTGAGGCAGGAGGGTTTCAAGTTCAAAGCCAGCCATAGCTACGTCATGAGATTCCTGCCTCAAAACTTAAGTGCATTCACGAGTCCTCAGAAACTCAGGTGTAACTGGGCATCTGATATCTGCATGCATTAAATTTGGCGGCTTTACATTGGCAGCCTTTGGGTTACTTAAGTCTGTGTCATTCTTCACCATCTGCCCACCTCTGAAATGGGAACAGAGATAAGCAAGAATGTCCCCTAAACTTATGTTACGTTGACAGTCTGTGGGTAGTGGCAGTGTATGCTGGGAAGTGGTCTGATGCATGATATACATTACCTAGGTAAGGCGATGCTGGGAGAGAGAGTAGCAGAACCAGTGCTGCAGCACTGTGAGTGATTAGTAATGTCTGCCTGGACGAGGCATGAAAAAGCGGTGCATATGCAACGGCTTCTCCCTCCCTCCTTCCTTTTTAAAAACTTTTGGTGTGCGTGTACACTGTGTATGCCATGCCCATGGAGGCTGGAAGAGATCTCCTAGAACTGGAGTTATGGATGGTTGTGAGCTGCCACGTGGGAGCTGGACACTGAGCTCAGGCCCTCGGCAAGAGCCCTCAGTGCTGAGTGATCTCTCCAGCCCCACCCACCCCTTTTGAATAGACTATGAATCCCAGGCTGCTCCAAACTCACAATCCTCCTGCCTCTGCCACTACATCCCACTGCCATCCCCTACCCTAGAGCGTGCCCCTGGGGCACCAAGATTTCCTGGATCCCAGCCCAGGCCCCTGTAATGTTAGATGAGAATGAAGAACAGCCCAGCCAGTGTCACAAGTGGACTCTGTGGGGGTAAGACTGACCCTGAGGACAATTACAGGCCCATCATCCTGGATCCAGCTGACCCGACAGGCAACCTGGGCCACAATGCCCGTTGGGACCTGCTGGCCCAGGAGGCTAGAGCATTCACGTCTGCCCTGTGCTGCATAGACAAGGATGGCACCCCCATCAGGCCATGGCTGGTAAAGGTGAGGGGCCTGTGATGTAGACAGGAGCACCCTCTGGGGAAGGACATGGACGTGGGCGGATATGGTCCTCCCTGTGAGCAACACCCAGCCACGGTCCCTGTGCGCCCTGGGCCTCCACTTCCTGTGTGGTATGTGGGCTCAGCTCTGCAGAAAGGCTAAGGTAACCAGCATGTCTTCCTTCCCACAGGCCACCGTGTGAAGTCTAGAAAGATCAGTGGTCACACCGCCTGACCGAAAGTGACATCAGCCCTCAGCATGGGAGCCTCAAGAGTATCTGGCCAGATTGTGTGTGTGTGTGTGTGTGTGTATGTGTGTGTGTGTGTGTGTGTGTGTGTATATGTGGTGTGTTTGTGAGCAGATCTGTGTGTGTCTGTGTGTCTGTATATGTATCTTTGCGTGTCTATATGTGTATGTATATATGTGTGTCTTTGTATGCTATATGTGTGTATGTGTATGTATGTGTGAATGTGTATATTTGTGTGTCTGTGTGTATATATGTATGTATGTGTGTATCTGTGCATGTATGTATGTGTGTGTATTTTTCTGTGTGTGTGTCTGTCAGTATGTGTATGTATATATGTATGTGTGTGTATGCGTGTGTGTATATGTGTGTCTCTGTGTGCTCTCTTACAGCATCTCCCTTCTGACCACCTGCCAACCCTCATCCCTCCCTTTCTTCCCATTGTTTACCCTCACTCTGGAGCTTCATTGACCTCTACTGTGATGGTCCCAGCACCACGCTAGACATCCCAGGAGCCAGGCATCTCTGAAACTCCAGTCTGCTGTTCACCTATCCTGTGCCCTGCCCACACCCCTCGGCCACTCCCAGCAGCACCTCAGCCCTGCCAAGAAGCCACGCTCCTCCCTGGCCTCTCTCTGCCCCTCCATCCCTCTTACATCCCTCCACCTGCAGAGAGCCAGCTGTGGTCCAGCTCTGTTCTCCATATGATGAGAGACCATGAACACAATGGGCAGTTGTTTTGGTGACTACAAAATACCTAGGCCCACAGCCACAGCCACAGAGTAAGGAAAACGAGGGATAAGTGGGCCTTAGGAATGTAGGAGGGGCAGGAAGAGCTGAAGAGTTCCCAGGCCTCACCTGGGCCCCACACACTTCCTCAGCTTTCCTGAGTCATCACCTGGGAAAGCTGAGGCTTTTTGATACTGTGGTGCTTAGGGTTCACCCACACCCCTGCCAGTCCCCACCCATGCTCTGTAAGTAACCCCAATGAACCCATTGGCTCACCCATTTAGACTCTGGGAATCTTTGTACCCTTTCTGGGATGAACAGACATGTGTTCGTGTCTCACCAGGAAAGGTCATGCGACACCATCCTGCCTCCTGATTGATGTATTTTGTTCCCAAATGCAGTGGAGATAGGAGTCCTGAGGAGGACGAGAAGGAATGGGTTTGCAAGTCCTGATCCATAAGCCTGTATTCCAGCAAGAATCTTCAACTTTGCCACACTGTGGGTGGACTATGGATGGTGTTTGTCTCTCCTCCCCTATCACAACCAGGACAAATGTCTACCAGTCCGTCTTACATGGGAAAATACCTGCACTCTTCTAGTGTCTGAATGACATCTAGGGGCCCAGAGAGTGGGGGGCAGACATATCCTATGAATGTTCCAGCCCTGCAACACGGGAAGCAGGTGGCAGATGCTGGGAGCAGTGTGGCCATGCAGGGTCCTCCAGAGGGACCGCCTGAGGGGTGGACGTGGTATCGATCCATCCCCAGGAGTCCTGAGGAGGATGAGAAGGACTGGGTTTGCAAGCCCTGATCCATAAGCCTGTATTCCAGCAAGAATCTTCACCTTTGCCACACCCTGGGTGGACTATGGACGGAGAGGAATAAGAATCAGAAAAAGGAATCTGTGCCAACCCATCCCCGCTAAGAGTGTCTCAGACAGCCCAGCTTGGCCTGGACCACTACCGGGGATAGGAACCAACAGAGATATAGGGAGTCAAGGATTCCCCAGTCTCTTCTCGGCTTCCACTTATGTCTCCTGCTCTTGCTTCCAGGCAACACAAGGCCCCACTGGAGTTGGTACCAACTTCAGCTCACCCAGAAGATTCACTGAGGCTAGGAAACAGACCCCAGATATGTCTCCTGGTGGCTTCTGTCACATCCTCAGAGCTCTAGACACTGATTCTCAACCTCCCTAACGATGCGACCCTTTCATACAGTTCCTGTCTGTCTGTATGCACGTGGCTGTCTCTGCATGTGGGCAGACCCACTTGGAGATGGATAAAAGAGCAGTGTCTCAGTTCCTAAGACCGTTGGGGAAAAAATGTGCTTTCTGATAAGCTTAGGTGACCGCTGTGAATGGCTTGTTCAACACCGGAGGGTTGAGGCCTACAGGTTGAGAAGCACTGCTCTAGACAGATGTGGCCAGCAGAAACCTGTTTCTGTGGAAGCTAGCAGCAGATGGGCCACCGGCCTAGCATCCCAGCGTTAGACCCAGTAGCCACGTTGTTACACATTGTTATTAAGTCTCCATACTGCAAACCATGTTTCTGCTTAGGCTGAACTTGCAACCCCACGATGCATACCCAGCCCTTTGCCTGTCTAAACTCCTAACCACGGTGATGACTAACCTTCCATGTGATGTACCTCACAGGCAGCCTTGAGCCCTGAGTCCCCCCACCCCTTTCTGTCCTGGTGCTAATAGCCAACCACCTCAATAGCTGCTTTCTATCAACCCTAACCCTTCTCCATAAAAGGAACCTCAAAAGCCAGTGAGGGGCTGCTCTCTAAAAATCCCAACCTAGGGGGAGGCAGTCATTGGCTGGTCCCTTGTGTACTTATAAATACACCTTGCTTTAATCAGACAGTCGTGGAAATATGCCCCCCTCACTCCCCCACCTCAGGTCCAGCCCCAGCCCTTGTCCCCACCACACTGACCCTGGGCTCTTTTGTCAAAATGGCTCCAGAATCAGGATAATGAGCCAGAGTAGGGGAGTGAGGCGACGGCCATCTGGGTGGCGGGGAGGCCTTGCTGACCTGAGCTCCTCAGTATCCGACAGTGGCCACCATGCTGGTAACAAAAAGATGCTGTTGAGCTTGACTCAGGCCAAAGCCGTAGGGAGGAGGCCCAGGAGGGCACAGCGAGGGCTGAGTGAGGGGAGCTGAGGCAGGGTCGCTGAGAGAGTTAGTGTCCCCTGCAGCCATTTCCTGTCTGTGGCCTCCCTTAGGGGGGGAACTGCAGGAGTCCTGCTGCTCTCATGGTTCCTTTCCTGGAGCCAATACTTTGCACTCAGTTGGGCTCTGAAGGCAACTTCTCAATACAAACTCACTGCACCTTTCCCAGTGAGCGTCCCAGGAAGCCATCTGCCACCTAGGACGGCCACACTGCAGTATGTCATCCTTCCTCGGAGGAAGATGCTACACATAATAGTTTATGAGAGGCCAAGGCAGGGGCATTACCAGTTCCAGGCTACATGGCAAGGCTCTGTAACTAACACAAAAGAATTGTATTGAATTGGTGAGATTTCTTTTTAAGCTTTAAACGTTTACTTTTTAAAATTGTATGTGTGTGTGTGTAGTGTGTGTGTGTGTAGTGTGTAAGCTCTTGACTCTTCAGGGCTCGGTGTTCACCCTAAGGCAGAAAGGAAGCCTACATCTGCCAGGGCACCTGCCTTACTGTGTGTCTTTAAGCAAGCAAGTCATTACGTTCCCTGGGCTCTTTCTGTAGAGCCCCGACTGGCGCTGAGTGCTCCAGCCACTGGAAACACAAGGGAAGGGGCGGTGTGTGGGACAGCCTCCACCCTCAATAAAACCAAATCACCTTAGTGTTTAGGGAGCACTGGGCCAGCATTCTGTCAAAGGTTTTGTTTTTGAGACAGGCTCTGTCCATGGGTGGAGGAGATAGAGGCATCAAGAAGTCAGTCCTGCACGGAAGGACACACACATCTGCACGAGCGTCCCCCTGAGGCTCTGGAGGTTTAGGTTTAAGCTGGGGTGTCCTCAGGAGTAGTCAGCTACCCAGACACGCCCCCTTTGGCAGCTGCTGGGCAGTGATTCCCACACTTGGGTTTCGATTTCCTACAGCTCCTAAGCTGTAATGTGGGTGGGGCAGTGGCTGTATATTTTACTTCCTCTTTCCAGAAACGCCCCCGTGAGCAGGGCAGCAGTCCTGGGACCTGAGCTAACTGCTCTCTTCCTCGGCCATTCACAGCCTTTCTAGGGCCAGCTAGCAACTATGGGAAATTGGCTGGCTGGTGAGTCCTCTGGCGAGTCACCTGGCTGGTCACCTGGCCACTCATCTGGTGGCTCCTCTGTCTGGTCACCTGGATGGCCATCTGGCGTGTCCTTGGTGCCAGCGCACAAGCTAGACGAGTATATCCAGGCAAACCTCAAACCCAACGAAGGATGTCTGAGGCAGATAGACCAGGCTGCGGATGCCATCTGTGCCTTCCTGCGAAGCAATGGCATCTCTGTGGAGGCAGTGGCGAAGGTGAGGCTCAGGGCTGGGGACAAGGCTCAGGATCTGAGGAGAGTCCCAGGGGTGGTGGTGCTGACTGCACAGGGCTTTTCTCTCTCCGGAGGTCAGACAGCGCACGGGGCCTAAGCTGCAGCCAGGCCTTCTTCGCCTGCAGGGCCGCAGGACTGCTGTGGGCTGCGTCACCAGCCTGTGCCTCAGTGTCCCGCTCTGCAGAATGAGGTCAGCCTGGACCCCACTGCAGAGTGCTGTAATGGTGAGGCACCCAGTGTTCGCAGCACAGGGCTGCTGTAATCGGAGCTCGGTCCACTGCCAGGACCAATCATGGGCATGTGGTGTCTTGGACTCCACATTTGTGAGATTTTTTTCGTTCACGTAAGCATTTTCGTTCTTGTATAGTACTCCACTGTGTTGTTTGTTCCTCTTACTGAAGTTTCAGGTGCCTCCAATTTGGAGCGAGCATGCAAAACGCTGACAGGGATACAAATTAATGCTGGCAACCTGATTTTAAAGAGGTGGTGACATTCAGGGATTTCATTCGACCTGAGAAATGTCACTGGAGCCACAGAAAGTTCAGCCCTCACAACTGCTGCTCCATTCCCTGCAGGGTGGCTCCTATGGCCGGAAAACAGTCCTAAGAGGCTTCTCCGATGGTACCCTTGTTCTCTTCATGGGTCACTTCCAGCAGTTCCAGGATCAGAAGAAAAACCAGTATAAACTCCTCGATTTGATTGAACAACTGCTGAAAAACCACGAGAAGTACAAGAATTCAGTAAACCGTGGGGACACCCTTGAAGTAGCAGTGTCCATACAAGGGCAGAAGATGCTCTTGCAGCTGCTTCCAGCCTTCAATCCTCTTTGTGAGTGATCCAGGGAGCAGGGGGTCCAAACTTCTTTGGAGTACTGGGGGTGGGGTGGGGTGGTGGAGGATACTTAGGTCCTATTGGCTGAGACCGTGACAGACAAAACTGGATATTTCCAAGATGTGGCTTGTGAAACCCTGTCTTAGTCAGTGTTCTGTTGCTGTGAAGAGATACCATCACCAAGGCAACTCTGATAAAAGGAAACACTTAACTGAGGGCTTGCTTACAGTTTCAGAGGTTAGTCCTTTATCATTGTGGCAGGAAGCGGACAGGCATAGCCCTGGAGCAGTAGCTGGAGAGAAGAGAGACACGGGGCCTGGCGTGGGCTTTTGACACCTCAAAGCCCACCCCCAGCAACACACTTCCCCCAACAAAGATGTACCTCCCAATACTTCCCAAACAATTCATCAAGTAGGGACTAAGTATGTAAATCTATGAGCCTCTGGGGCCATTCTCACTGAAACCACCACAACCCCATAGAGAGAAGAGCCTCCTACCCTGAGCATACTGTCTAAAATGCCATGCTTGCCTCATTTACTCTGGATATAATGTTCTAGACTCTTGAATCTAATGTGGACCTTTTGTAGGTGAGTGGGTAAATGGATGGATGATAGATGTATAGACAAATGGCAGGAAAGAAAGGGAACAGAAGGATGGAGGTGGGTGGCTCGGTGCTTACTGGATGGATGAATGAATGGATGGATGGATGGATGGATGGATGGATATGAGGATAGATGTATATGTATGAGGATGTATGGGTGGCTGTATAGACAGGTGGAAAAAAGGATGGAAGGGAGGATTGTGGACAGATGGAAAATGGATGGTTATAGAGATAGACAGATACATGGGAAAACAGAAAGACAGGAATATGTTGCCATTGCCACACTGCCAATGGTAGGCTCCGCTAGTCTGACACCCCAGGACCTCTGAGCTGGAGGCTAGGGTGCCTTCATTGTCCACACCGCTGAGAAACTTCTGGGTTGCTGGGTCCTTGAATAGCCACTGCCCGCCCGTTTTCTGAAGAGGTGGAGATGTACACAATCCTACATTGTGGCACTCCTGGGAAGGTGGCCAGGATCAGAGAACAGTGCAGAGTTGTGGCCCTGGGCCCTTCTCGGCTGGTAGGGTTTGAAGGTGAAATGCCCGCTCCAGGCCCATGTATATGAACACTTGGCTCCCAGCTGGTGACCCTCATTTGGGAGAGTGTAGAGAGGGGGTCCTAGCAAGAGGCTGGGAAGCGAGCCTTGAGGGGGTAACCTTGCCCTGCTTCCAACTCCACTTCTAGGCTCTCTGTGTTTGCTTCCTGGTCCAAGAAGGGAGCGTGAGGCGCCACCTCCTGGAGCCATCTCTCCCCCCTCACAATGCTGTACCCTCTTAACAGTGAACCAAAAGAAAGCCTTTCCCCCTTTTGTGGCTCTGGTCCGACGTTCCATCCCAGCAGCCAGAAGAGTAACTGGTACATGTCTCCAGTGGGTTCCTTGTCACTAAATCTAAAATCCGAGCAACTAAGCTTCCAGGCTCGTTTAGTTGCAACGGTGTCCCTGCCTCGAGAGAGAGAGGAATTCAGGGGTTAGAGATGTGAGGCTGAGTCACTGCAGTGAATTCCGGGCTCTCTCTTCTGGTGCCCAGAGCCTGGTGGTGGGAGATCAGGCCAGCCCCACCCTTGCTGCCTTGACCCAGCCGAGTAAGGTGCCAGGAGAAATTAATTCTGCACATGTAGTACCCCGATACTGCCACCAGGTAGCGATAGATTCGCATCGTCCAACATAAGACTCCATCACAAGGAAGCAGTGGATGCTGCTGAGAAACTACGTGCTCTTTAAATGACTCCATCTTATAAATATACAAAGTATGTTTCTTCTTCATCTCCATCTGACACTTATTAGTTCATTTTTTTCTAATGGAAACAATATTTTAAATGTAGAGTTGTTCAGACATATGCAAAACATGTCAACAGTAGCAATACAATACAAAGCATTTGAATTTGAATATGGCTACCTGTAACAAGGTTACGCAAGAGAAAATCATTGTTCAATTTTGTTTAAAAAAAAAAAAGACCCTACAGGGGGACTCAGAAATGACTTCCTTTACTAAATTACTTCCTTTACAGACCAACTAGTCTGGTCTAATTGTCTCTACCAGGTCAGGCAGGCTGCTGCTGCCCTGGTTTCTTTCTCCAGGACCTTTGACCCCAAAACTGACTCCAGTTTATTTGACTTCAGGGTGTCTCCCCTAAAATTAGCTGTAGCAGTTGGGCCTCATAAGAGGTTTAGAAGACTTACATGTTACTTTTTTTTTTTTTTTTTTTGCAAAAAGGACTCCAACTGTTCCCAGTATACAGGCGGCACTCAATAAATAGCAAGGTCACCTATGGTTACCATGTGCCTAAATATGTTAACAAAGAGCAGAGTTCAGCAAGCAGGAATGGAAATTGGTTCAGCTCACCTCTGCCCTTCCCGTCTCCTGCCACCTCAGAGTGCCGCCAGGCCTCTGTGAGGTAGAAGTCATTCTGTTTCACAGATGAAGGCAGTCACACCTTTGGTACACTTGGCTTTGGTATGAATCTGGGGCCTTTATTCTCATGTGTCATTTACTGCCTCCTGTTGTGTGCGCCTCCGCTGATCCCGTCTTGGGCCAGCTGCCCCCTCGCAAATCTCCCCAACTCCGGCTGAGCTTCCCGCTGCTCTCTCCCACCAGGCTTCGGTGAGAACCCCAGCTCCAGGGTCTATCGGGACCTCAAAAAAGCCATGGATCAAGCCGGAGCCTCACCGGGGGAGTTCGCGGCCTGCTTCACCACACTGCAGCAGCAGTTCTTTGACAGATGCCCCAGGAAGCTGAAGGACTTGATCCTGTTGGTCAAGTACTGGTACCAAGAGGTGATCTGTGTGGTTGCCTTGTTTTAAAGAAGGCCTTAGTCCGACCTGGAACTCACTCTGTAGACCAGGCTGGCCTCAGTCTCGCAGAGATCCACTTTCTTCTGTCTCCCAAGAGCTGGGACCAAAGCCAGGTGCCACCATGGCCCACTGAATTATTACCCTCTGAATGAGATCATTCACAGCAAAGACATTTCAACAATACTAACAGCCTACCACAGCCTGCATGACTGTAGCCCCAGCACTCCAGATGTGGAGGCAAGAGGCTCTAGAGTTTAAGGCTTACCGCAACCATACAGCAAGACCCTTTTCTAAAAAGAAAAATCCAGAGGCTGAGGAGATGAGATGGTTCTGTGGTTAAGAGCATGTGTTGCTCTTCCAGAGGACCTGAGCTGGATTCCCAGCACTGACATGGTGTAGGCCCACCAGCAGCTGTAATTCTAGATTCAGGTGCCTCTAGCCTATGCAGGCACCTGAACTCACACAAACAAAACAGAGACACACAGACACATAATTAAAAACAATAAGGGTTTGGAGAGGTTGCTCGGTGGTTAAGAGCACTGGCTCTTCTTCCAGAGGACCTGGGTTCAATTCCCAGCAGCTGCATGGCAGCTCACAACCTTCTGAGGGAAGCCAGTGCCCTCCTCTGGCCTCCGTAGGCACCAGGCATGCACCTGGTACACAGACACACATGCACACAAAACACACATAGATATACAATAAATAATTAAAAAAATTTAAACATACTAAAAATAAATTTTAAATTCCAGTATCAGTCACCGCTAATCTCATCCAAAGAATATGTGGGGTGTATGTGTGTGCCATAGCATATGTGCAGAAGTCAGAGGACAACTTACAGGAGCGGGTTTTCTCTTTTCACTCTGTCGGTCCCGGGAATGGAACTCAGTTCACCAGGTTTGGCGCCTAGTGCCTTTCCTCACTGAACCCTTTTGCTGGCCCTCCCTTATTTTCAAACCCTGCACGTGGATCACGGTGCACACACCTGGCGTCCTCCTCCTTCCCTCCCTTTTGGCTGGCACAGCAATAGCTTTCCATTTCCTTGTGCCACTCCATCATAGCACCCCTGTCATACTTTTCTGCTGTGTTGGGCCCTTGGCTCATTTCCAGGGTGTGGCCTCGATGGATTGGGTCACTGTGGGTGTTCTCTAACTTGTCTTGTGTGAACTTAAGCATGTATTTTCCTTGGGTAAATATGCAGTGGAGTCTTGGGTTCTAAGGTGCTCAGACAGAGCCCCAGACAGCACATATGTGCACCTCTGTGTTTACATAAGTGGGCTCTGTATGAAGCGGACCCCTGTGCAAGCATGCGGACCCCACGCAGTATACATCCAGGTAGTCTGAGGCTGTAGCCCCAGCAGCAGACACAGGTAGATTCCCCGGTCCTCGGGCCCCCTGGGAAGCCACCGGAGCCAATCAGTGAGCTCCAGGTTCGGCCAGAGGCCCTGCTCCAGGTGGAGAGTGACTGAGGGAGACACTCGTCTTTGACCTGTTTTACTCTCTCCCTCTTACACACACTCACACACGAAACTCAGACTCACATACATGCACACACCCATGCATTCACACGCTGACAGAATCACGTGCACACACTTCCACACTCACGTAGCCGTTCACACTCACACACATGCACACACACTTACATTCTCATAATCACATACGTTCACTCAAACACACACACACACACACAGTCATACGTGTTCACACACACTACACATTCACATACAGGCATCCGCATGTACAATCACCTGTACCCACACACACTCGAGTGGGCGGCGTGAGCATTCCACGGGCTCTTTCATCAGCATCTGATGGTACCGACGCCCTGACGTCCAGGGGTGGCGGATGTTGGCAGCTTCTCGACTCGGGCCTCCTGACGGTCTCGTCTTCTCTCGCAGTGCCAGCAGAAGTGGACGGCTCCTCCGCCCCTGTCACTGTTGTACGCACTGGAGCTCCTGACTGTGTATGCCTGGGAGCAGGGCTGCCGGGAAGAAGACTTCGACGTCGCAGAAGGTGTCAGGACCGTGCTGCACCTCATCAGGCAGTCGGCAAAGCTGTGTGTCTACTGGACGGACAACTACAACTTTGAGGATGAGACGGTCAGGAACACCCTTTTACACCAGCTCAGGTCCCAAAGGTACCCAGCTTCCCTCGTCTCTCCAGATGTGGAGACCCCTCCCCAACTGAGAAAGAGAGAGAGAGAGTGTGTGTGTGTGTGTGAGAGAGAGAGAGAGAAAGAGAGAGAGAGAGAGAAAGTGTGTGTGTGTGAGTGAGTGAGTCTTGGGGACCCCCAACTCGGGGCCTGTTTGAGAGGCCGGCACTTCCCCAGCCCGACTTTTTTTCTTTGATTAAGATTTATTTGTGTGACTGTGTGAGTATGTATGTGCACACCCATCTGGGAGGTTGTGCACCGCTTTGCACAGAGACCAGAAGAGTATATCAGGAGTTCTTCACCTAGTCCTCTGAGGCAGGATCTCTCTCTTCTTCAACCTGGGTTCCTCTTTCCTCAACTAGGCTGGAAGGCAGCAAGCCCCCTGCTGTCTCCACCTGCTCAGATCCTGGGTTAAATCCATCTTCAGGACACCCGTGTTCTCATGGGTGTCAGGTCCCAAACTCCAGTCCTTTTTTGAACTCTAAGCACATTCAGTTGCCGAGATGTCTTCCCAGGCCCTGACTGGGTGGAGGAAGAGAAGGGTATGAGATAAGGGCTAACTGTATAGCTCTGGCTGGCCTGGAACTCACTCTGTAGACCAGGCTGGCCTTGAACTCACAGAGATCTAACGGCTTCTGCCTCCTAAGTACTAGGATTAAAGGTGTGTGCTACTAAGACCAGGCTGGTTTTCTTCTAATCTGATGATAAAATTCCTAGGCCGATCATCTTGGATCCAACTGACCCAACCAATAATGTGGGCAGAGAGGATGTGTTCTGGCAGCTGCTGACAGAGGAGGCTCAGGCCTGGCTGTCCTCTCCCAGCCTGAATGTGTCGCCTGGGCCATGTTGGAATGTTCTGGTAAGAGGGTTTCCTCGCTTGAGGGCGCATCCTCCTGACACTGGTTTAGGAGGGTATGCCTTGGCTTCCTGTGTGTGACCACTCTAACTCAGTCACACACTCAGCAGGGCTTGAAGCAATGGAAGTTTATTTCGCCACCGTTCTGGATGCTGAAGGTTCAAAGACAAGAAATGGGGAGGGAGTGGGGTTCTCCTGGGAGGTTCAAATGGACAGCACGGATCCCTGGCTTGCTTGGGACATCATCACCCTGCCTGTGGTGTCTGTCTCATGTCTACCCTGCAGCATGCTTTTTTTCTCTGTGTGGGTCTAAGAACAACAGTCATGTTGAACTAGCCACCCTGGTTATGATGGCTTCCCTAACAACCCCATTTCCTGTTGGGTCACTGTCATGAGTATCATAGGTCCAAACCCCAATATATTTTAGGGGACACTTAACCAACTCTTAGAGGCCACAAAGATGACCCACAAAGGTGGGAAAGGGGACACAGAGAGTGGGTCCTCCCAGAAAAGACATTAATTTGCTAATACAAGGGGGAAAGCAGAATGCGGGGGTGGGGGGTAGCAGAGACAGGGGGTGGAGCCTCCTAGAAGCCAGCAGTGAAGCTGATACAATCTGCCTGGCAGAGGAAGGTTTCACTGCATCCCTAAGTTAGACCTGCTGGGTCCGTTCAAAGGCTCCTTTTGCTGGCCCCAGTCAAACCCCACCTCTCCCAGACAAGGGACAAGCTTATATCCGAAGTGTGGGAGGCGGGAGCCACGGCTCCTCTGCAGAGGAATCTGGGATGGACAGAAGGACAGCACAGTGTCTGTGAATGGGGTCACTCCCCAGATGTCAAGGACTCCACAATTACTCCCTTGTCACAGCCTCCTTGACTTCCCAAGGTAGGGACAGGGTGGTACCTTCCCACCATCTCCTTCTGAGCTTTCAAACATCTATCACTGCGAAAAGGGAAGGACAGTGCCTGTGCGGGTGTCACAGAGAGGAACTCTGGCCCTGGCCTTTTTTGGCTGGGTGGCATTCACACACGCACACACTTACCCTCATCACTAGGATGGTGGTCACATGCCACAACCACCAGTCTGTGGCCAAAGGCAAATTTAGGTTCATGGTGCTGTCAAAATATAAGCCACACCCACCATCTTGGTGGCTGTGTGCTGACACACACCATCTTCATATTCTGTCATACCGAGACCACCCCCAGACCCTCTTCCCAGCACACAGGTACACGGTATGTTCAGTGCTCATGTCTCCCCTACCCCACCTTTTAAAGATTTTTTTAAAATTATGTGTACAAGTGCCTGAGTTTGTTCAGTACCCACAGAGGCTGGAAGAGGGAATCAGATCCCGTGGAACTGGAGTTACAGATAGTTGTGAGCCACCACCTGGGTGCTAGGAATCAAACCTGGGTCCTCTGACAGAGCAGACAGAGCACCTAACTGCTGAGCCGCCTCTCTGGTCTCTACGGCACCTTCTGATCCCTCTGCTGCCGTCTCCCTAGCCTGTCCTTCTAGACCATGATGTCATCCCTCTCTCAACAGCTGCTTCAAGTCAGGCCTAGGAACCAACCCACAAACAGCAATGAGCATTTCAGGTTCAGACACATGTATGTGCACACCCACATACAAACATACATACTCACGTATGAACACGAATCTTTGCGCCTGGACCCTCACGCTGTCAAAGGTGCACGCACGGTGCTGACACTCGTGGGCACGCGTAGGCACTCACAGCTGCCTACGCTCACGTTTGCATGCATGCTCATGGGCATACGCAGCACACACTCACGCACACAGAGCACTCACATCCTCATATGTGTACACACACACATGTGTACGAGTTCACACATGCCCACCCTATGTACCATCTGAGCTGTGGGAGGGGAAGGATTGGCGCTGCCGCTGCTAAGGGTCATAACATCCAGGGGCACCAAGAGCAGCCGGGACTGCGGAGCTGAGCGCCTGTCCTGTCCTCAAGGATGTACCGCTCCCTGACAGCGCTCTCCGGAAAACCTGTCTGCTTACACCACTCTTCCTCTCCACTCCTGCTTAAAACATGTACCCCAAATCCACAATCTTATCATTCCAGCAGTGGACAACCCCAAAGCGGCCTCACAGTGCTGTGATGGAGACACTCGAGGCCCCCTTCCCTAGTCAAGCGCCTCATGGCTCCTTTGTCCATCTTTAAAGCCATTAGCCCAAAGGTCTTAAGCCCCCTCTCCTCTCTGCTTGTGTGCTCACATCTCCTTGTTCAAATTTGACCCTCCTACCTGCCTCTTGGAAAGTTCTTGGGGATCTCATGCTGGCCCAGGGCACTGCCCATGTCTGTACCCCCACATGAACCTTAGAAGGAGCTTGGGGAAAAGTTTCTGCTAGGGTGGGGTGAGGGGAATGTTAGGTTTTATCTGGCATCTCAAGTACATTCTCAGTACATCAGTGCAAGCCCCAGAGACAGGAAGGACTCTGCCCATGGCCGGAAGCAGGCCGGCAGCAGGAGAGACAGGGTTCTCTCCTCCCCACCAGCCCGCGCCACTCTTCATCACACCAAGCCACTTACTAGACAAGTTCATCGGAGACTTCCTCCAGCCTAACAAGGTCTTCCTAGAGCAGATCAAAAGAGCCGTGGACATCATCTGTTCATTCCTGAAAGAACACTGCTTCCGGTACTCAAGCACCAACGTCCTGAAGGTTATCAAGGTGAGTGCTGGCCCTTTCCCAGCCCCAGCTCTTGGGAGCCAGAGAGACCAAGGGGAAGGGGAGGCAGCATCTCACTGTTCCTGTCCTCCCTAGGGAGGATCCAGTGCCAAAGGCACAGCTCTGAAGAATGGCTCAGACGCCGACATCGTTGTGTTCCTCAGTTCGCTGAACAGTTACCGCTCCCAAAAAACCGAGCGTTCCCTGTTCGTCCAGGAGATCCGGAAGCAGTTAGAAGCCTGCCAGCAGGCCTATGAGTGGGAGGTGGAGTTCGAGATCTCCAAGTGGGAGGCCCCCAGGGTGCTGAGCTTCACCTTGAAATCCAAGCATCTCAACGAAAGCGTCGACTTTGACGTCCTTCCTGCCTATGACGCGCTGGGTAAGGACAGCTAGACCCTCGCTTCTGAGAAGATTTTGGAAAGAGTGGAAGAAAAACCAGGAGGGGGCTGGGTAAAGGGCTGCAGTTGTTTCTCAGGCCCCAGCAGGTTTGTGGCAACATGCAATATCTTTCTCATGTAAGTACCCCAGGCAGTTTCCAGGAGCTGTCAGCTCCAATCTCTGTGGTTTGCCAGGGATGGCACACAGAAGCATGTGTGTGCCGCCCACAGCACCCCTTCATTTCCTGGGCGGAGAAGGGAATAAAAGAACACAGTGAGACAAGGCTTTGTGAGACAAGAAACAGGAAATTGGGGCTAGAGGGATGGCACAGGGGTTAAGATCGATGCTCTGCCAAAGATCCTGAGTTCAATTCCCAGCAACCACATGGTGGCTCACAACCACCTTTAGTGAGATCTGGTGCCCTCTTCTGGCCTGCAGGCACACATGCATGCAGGCAGAACACTGTATACATAATAAATAAATAAATCTTTAAAAACAAAACAAAACAGGAAATTAGGTATAGGCAAAAACTCCTCCACAGAAATCCCATTCACGAGTGAGAGCTACCGAGACATAGATGAATGGAAATCTTTGAAGTAGGCTGGGGAGATGGCTCCAGGGTAAGAATGTTTGTCATGCAGTTGTGGGGACCTGAGTTTTGTCCACCAACATCCATGTGGAAAGCCAGGCTCTACTGCAGGCACACCTGTGACGCCAGCGCTGCCCGGGGCGGGTGTCAGGTGAGTGGAGTTGGGTGGAGACAGAGACTGTCTAGCTGAACCAGAAAGCTCCAGGTGCAGTGGGGGAGCCTGTCTCAATAGGATAAGGTGAAGGACGATACGGCAGGACCCCTAGCCTCCTCCTCCGGCCTCTGTGTGGGTATGCACAGACAAGCACACATATATCCGTTCACGAAGCAGCTTAGAGGAAGAAAGGGTTTGGCTTACCCTTTCAGATCTCAGTCCATCATGGAGGGAATTCAGGGCAGCAACTCAAGGCAAGCAACTGAAGAAGCCATGGGGGAAGACGGCTGGCTGCCTCCGTCACGGGCTTATGCTTACTTACCTAGCTTTCTTATTTAGCCCAGGTCCACGTGTCAAAGGGATGGTGCCATCCACAGAAGGCTGGGCCCTCCTGCTACAGTTTCTCAGATGGATATATATATATGGACCTTCCATCTCATTTCTTTTTAATTATCTCAAATACAATCAGACACAGTGGCTGGTGGATGTCTGAGTGGATCTTACAGGTGTGTGTGCCACTGGAGAAGCACCATGCCCTCCAAACACACAGTCACTGCTCTCTGCATCTTGGATAGCCATCAGTAGTTCAGATATATGTACATGGTTCCAAGGAAAGCTCTCGTTGAATTGAAAACCTCTAATGTAAAAATAATAATAATAATAATCATAGGATGGTTCAGTAGTGAAGGGGGGCTTGCTGTTCTTTCAGAGGACCTAGGTTTGTTTCCCAGCACTAGAGTCCAGTGGCTCACATCCTCTAACTCCAGCTCCAGGGGAACTGGTGCCCTCTTGTGGCCCTCACAGTCACTTGCATTTAGAGGTGCATGCACACACGGTACATGTGCACACGTGTGTATGTATGTACATGCGCACACACGTATACACATACACACACACATATAAAAATAAGGTTTTGAAAAACCAGTTTTTGAGGGCTGTAAGCATAGATTCACGGATAGAGTTGCCCAAGACATGATTTCAATCCCCTCTACTGCATAAACCCGGCATGGCGGTGCACATCTGTAACATCTGTAGTCTCAGCCCTTGGAGGGAGTGGCGGAAAGATCAGAAATTCTAGATCCTCTTTGGCTACATAGCACATTCAATGCCAACGTGGGCTACATGAGACCCTGTCTCAAACAAAATCTGTTGTTGTTCTGATGCTCACCATATACATCACAATCTAACAGACACGCTGCTCCCATGATAGGGCAACTGCGTTCCGGCTTCACCTCCAGGCCCAAAGCCTACAAGGAGCTTATTGAACTGTGTGCATCACCCAGCTTCGTCGGAGGCGAGTTTTCAACCTGCTTTACGGAGCTACAGCGAAACTTCATTGAACCTCGGCCCACCAAACTCAAGAGTCTTCTCCGCCTGGTCAAGCACTGGTACAAACAGGTCAGCCAGCCCCCGATCTGGCCAAACTGGCTGTTTCTTTACCAGTAAGAAAAGATACAGACTTTGCCAAGTGCCCTGGACACCCAAATCCTCCCATGCTAGGGGTTGAGTCTCTTCAGAGATGCTGCTCATGAAGCCACTGATCTGTTGATTGCCGTGATGTTTGGGTCAGGCCTATTGGGCTTCCCAGCACCAAAGCATTAGTGTAGCCTATTCTGACCTCACGTTGGCCAAAGAATTCAGCGGCAGCCGAGAAGCGTGATGGAAGTTAGGATTGTGTGCCACAGGTTGCCAGTGCTGCTGTGCGGACACCACGCTGTCTCTCAGAAGGCAGGACGAGATGGGGTCACCATGGGTAGCTGAGGGTAGGGGGCTGGGGATCTCCGGTTTGACTCTCAGCATGTCACGTGACTTTCCTCCTCTGGCATGGCGATCCGTGCGGCAGGGCCCATAGCTAGCACTCAGAGGGTCCTATCAGCCAGCGGTTACGGTGTTACCCAAAACACAGGGCACTGCCTGTGCCCCTCTGCCTGCTGTTTAGAATCCCAACCCTACCTAGAACTCTAGGTCCCTCCCCTTCAAGTTCTATGTCATAACCCATAAAATACACTCTCCTCTGCCTCGCAAGGTCATCTGACAACTCCCCTCTCCCCACCAGTGTGAAAGGAAAATGAAGGCAAAACCGTCTTTGCCCCCAAAGTATGCCCTGGAGCTGCTCACTGTGTATGCCTGGGAGCAGGGCAGTGGCATGAATGACTTTGACACTGCTGAAGGCTTCCGGACCGTCCTGGACCTGGTCATAAAGTACCAGCAGCTCTGCATCTTCTGGACAGTCAACTACGACTTCCAAGACGAGCCGATGAGGACATTCCTCCTGACCCAGATCCAGAAAAAGAGGTGCCTATGTCCCAGGCCCACGCCCATTCTGAATTAACCCGATTCCCTTCCACACTGTTTCTTTCATGACCTGGATTCTTCTCCCCAGGGTCTTGTTCATTCCCAGCAAGAACCTGAGGGAGAGGCTGCCCCGAAGAGTGAAGAGTGACGTTCCAGGGAGAAACTCAACCTCGGGAGTGGGAGTGGTTTGCCAAATGCAGGGTGGGGGGATGCAGAACCAGGGGTCAGGCAGAGAGTGCCCACCCTGCTTTCACTGTTCTGTCACGTGGAAATGTGTGTGTGCCAGCCAGTCTGAGAGGGCTGCGAGATGGCGGGGTATCCCTGAGAAACAGCACTGCCATTCCCAGCCCCAGCCAAGCCCCACACCCACGGCACACAAGCAGGTGCCCACCGCAGCACGTCAAAGGACCACTTTGCAGAGTCAGTTCTTTCCTCCCACTGTCCTATCCAACAGGATTGAACTCAGGTCACCAGACTTGGCAACAGACTTTTATACACTTTATTTAGCCCCAGCCATTAGCATCTCCTCAGATCTGGTTTTATCTTTCGGAACCAAAAGAATAAGAAAGAAAATGGGCAGGACAGTACCTGCCACAGCCCCAGCATTTTGGAGGCTGAAAGCTGAAAATATTTTGAGGTTTTTGTTTTGTTTGGGGGGTGGTTGTTGTTTTGAGACAGGGTCTCTTCATATAGCCTCGCTGCCCTGGAACTCACTCTGTAGGCCAGGATGATCTCCGACTCACAGAGAAGTGCTGGGATTAAAGGCGTTTGCCACCACACCCAGCCAGGAGCATCTTAAATTAGAGGATAGGCTTGTCTATCCTTGTGTAGCAAGTTCTTGTCTCAAAAATAATTATTTCAGTAAGGGAGGGGGTCCTTACAGTGCACGCTTAATACCGTTGAGCAGGAAACGAAAGAAAGGAAAAGGAGAGAGAGACTAAAAGAGCAAAGGGAAGAAACAGGAGCATTAAGAACAGGAACACCGCACGCACGCACACTCCAGCCCCATCTCCCCACCCCCACCCCACAAGCACTGACCTACTTAGTAACCCTGCACTATCTGCCATCTTAGAGTTGGGTGAGGGTCTCTTGAAAGAGGTCACCACTGCACACTTTGCTGAGCACAGCAATTAACAGCTCAGGGGTTTTGTTGTTGTTCTTCAAACATAACAATTCTAGGAAGTTACTTTGACTCTTAAGTAAATTCCAATTGCTTGATCCCGACTGTCAGGATACATTGTGTCCTGACAAATGGGACCAGCCCCAAAAGCTGAGGCCAGAGGTCTCGGCAACAACACTTTCACATCTTCTGACCTCTCTTTAGGCCTGTGATCTTGGATCCCGCAGATCCCACAGGAGACGTGGGAGGAGGTGACCGCTGGAGTTGGCATCTTCTAGCAAAAGAAGCGAAGGGGTGGCTGTCCTCCCTCTGTTTCCAACTGCCAAGCAGAGACCTTGAGAGACAAAGGGGCCTTGTGCAGCCGTGGAAAGTGCCAGTAAGAGTGCCCTAAAGAATGCAGGTGGCCCCATCACAGAGTCCAACCAAAGCACTTTCTTGTTGTAGTAATTTGGGATTGCTGAGCTCCCAAAGAAATGAAAACTGGACTCCAGGAGTTCAGTCAGTCATCTCTCCTGTCGAGGGTACCTAGAGACCCAGGGACACATGACATGGTGGGACCTGGTCTCTCCGGGAGGGATCTTGCGGCAGTGTCAAGGCTTTTGTGTTTGCTAGGTAGTGCCTTGCTCCCTACCTGTGCCTCTGTGGCAGCACCACCCATGCCCCAATCAAAATGCCAGGCAGACATTGTCAATTATCCCCTGGAAGTAAAGGCACCATTCTTTCTTACCTTTGGGGCTCTCCTCTTTGGTTGATTTTAGCTGAGTGGCCCTGAACCCTGTGGGATGCCTGCACATTGCCGCTTTATCAAGCAGGAAGATGGGGAAAGAACAGATAACCGAGAGTCTGGATCCTGAGGCCGGGTGGAGTTGGGGATAGGGGGATAGCAGTCTGGGGAAATGGTTCAGCAGAGTTCAGATCCTCAGAACCCACAAAAATGCAGGGTGGGTGTGGCAGCGTGATTCCAGCCTTGGGAGCATGAGTCAGTGGGATCCCTACGGCAAACTGGCTAGATCAGTTAGCTCTGGGTTTGATTGACACACCCTGCCTCGATAACTAAGGTGGAATAGTGACTGGTGATGATTCCTGACAGAACCCTGGGGCCTCAAACATATGTCTGCATATGTAGACATATGCAGTGCGCACACACAGACATGTATACAAGTTCATGCAACAGAGAGAAAAAAAACAAAACTAGGAAAAGGAAAAAGGGAAGAGACATAGGATTAGATTAGATGCTTTATTGCCACATTCTCACACTTGTAAAAAAAAAAAAAACAAAAAACCTAGGATTGTTACTTGGCTGTTCGTAAGCTTGAACGTGGCTACCAAGCAAAGGAGTAAAGTTGTGTTCGCCTCCTCCACCCAAGATACACTGGGAACCCTCCAGGCCTCCCTACCTCAGGCAGGCACACTCCATTCCTTCTCCATTCTGTCCCTCCTCAGCCCTGCTGACGTCTGGGGACGAGTTGAAGCTGTAGGCTGTGGAACCCTGTCCCGGTCTCTTCTAGATGGGGGTGGGGCTGAGACACTGTGTTGTGTCCTCTGAGAGAAGGTTGGCTCCGGGTGACACTCTACCTCGGGGGTGTGCCCCTGTCCTCACACCCCGAATTAGCAAGGCTGATGCTAACAGTCAGTTTGGTTTTGTCTTTGTCTTGGGTCACAGTTTCCCAAATATGTTTTCCAGCCTCTTTTCTGGAGACAGGTCCTTATTATGTAGCCCTGGATGTCCTGGAATTCCCTATGTAGACCAGGCTGGCCTTAAACTCACGGAGACCCACCTGCCTTTGCTGGAATTAAAGACTTGTGCCACCGTACTCTTCTTTGAAGTTTCACACACGCACACACACCCCTCTCTCTTTCTCTAGGTGGTGCAGACCCCAGGAAGCTGTGGAGCTCAGATCTACCCCACTGTAGGTGGAGGGTACTTAGGAAGACGCTTCTAGAGCGGTCTGGCAAAGAGTCCATGTTACAAAATGAAGCCTGTGTGCAGTCTTCCCTGGCTGTTGCCTCTCCCTCCTGCGCTCCTTTAGGGTCCTGACAACATCCTGCGTCACCACCTGGGCCAGGTGCTCCAGATACGACCCGACTGCCATGCCCACCTGCTCTCTCTGCTTCCGTTTCTCCCCTTCCCTCCTCTGTGACTCTCTCTGTCCCTCTCTCTGTCTCTCTCTCTGTCTCTCTGTCCCTCTGTCCCTCTCTCCGTCTCTCTCTCTCTCTCTCTCTCTCTCTCGGTGAGGCCACCATGCTCCTCCTTCTCTTCTATGTTCTCCCACTGTCTCTCTGTCTCTCTCCCCATTCCCCACCCCCTGCACATTAAATCTCTTCGTTCCAGAGCTGTTGTGTGCGGTGTTTTCTATTTGTATTTATTACACGGACTCTGATTAAAATCAAGACATGGGCTGCCACTCCCCCACCTCCACCCAGGGGCCTCACATCACAGCCCCTGCTCTGTGCGAGTGACCGCCTTCAGAGACACTTGTCCACCCTGTGTCACCGAGGTTAAGCCTCTCCCCCTGAGCCCTTCATTTCCGTCAGCCCCAACTAGCTCTTCCACTGCATCTTTGTCTGTCTCTTTCTTCCAACCATGGGCCTTCCTTGTCCCTGTGGAGGTGTCCCACCTAGCAGCCAGCTACCCCTCCGATACACTTCTGCTGTTAAAATCCCGTCTCTTGGGGAAATGTAAACAGCATCTACTGCTCTTAAGGTCCCAGGACAAACCCAGGTGCACTTTTCTCAAAGTTCCCCCGAGGAACCAAGTTGTTCATTGGGCTTACCTACAGAGCATGGGTACAGGCAGGAGCCAGAGGGACTCTAAAGCTGTCACACTGGAAGGTCCGCCCCCAGCAGAGATGAAAGCTTCCCTCGGGCAGCATGGAGAGAACCCTTTTCCTCTCTCACCTTTCCCACTATATCCTCTAGCCCCTCCCAGAGACCACGAGAGCACGAGAGAGAGGACGAAATAGCATTCAGGTGGCCGGGACCGGTTGCTGGATACTTGGGTGAGGGTCTCATTACCTTCACCGCACCACCGCCACCGTGTCCCCTCCCCCTGCCCAAGAGGGGAGATCAGCAGCCGCCAGGCCCAGCTGTGATGTTCTTTGATGAGCAGCCGCAGATGGACTCCTGAAGATAGTGGCGGTGTGGCTGGGTGGATAGTGCTGCCCTTCACACATTCCATGGCTGCTTGATAGCTCCTTAGCCTGGGCAGCTGCTGTCCTTACCTTCCCAGATGCCCAGGGATCCTCACCCCAGGGCTTCAACTGTACGGATGCATAAGGTCCGAGACCCATGCGTCCCCAAGTAAGGTTGAGCCTCTTCTGCCTGTGCTTGCTCTGCTGCACTGGGGACCACGCCTGGCCCCTGTGCTACTTCTGAGCATAGAACTGCGACACCCGAGGGGATTGACTTCTGTGTGAACTCCTTCACCCATCTCTGAAGTAAGCTACCGAGGTGACTCGGTGGGCTCACCCAGACAGAAATCCCAAGCACTCGATTAAGAGGGTCTGAACATTAGCCCGGCCCTTCTTCAGGGAAGAGGCGGGGCTTAAGGTGCAGTTCACACCTCATGGCCAGTGATGGAACCAGTCACCCCCTCAGTGCTGAGACCACACCAAAGTCTCGGGCTAAGGTGGCTCCAGGAGTTTCCCCACTGAGAAGCATCTCAGTGTATCAAGAAGGTAGAATCCTCTCCAGGGTCAGTCCCCTGCCTGGACTTCCACGTGACTTTAGGCTGTTCATTTATATGCCCCATAATGAACAGGGGCCTTGAGTACATGCTTTCTTCACCCCGTGAGCCGCCCTGATAAATTACGGGAAGTCATGTGTGCAAGCCACACAAACACATACCCACAAAGAGCACGGTGAAAGACTCAGAGGAGACAAAGGGACACCTCGTTCTTTCCCATTAATGTCCTCTCAACATCTTGTGAGGAAGTTAAAGTCGTGAGGAGCAGAAATAAGAGAGAATTCACAGTGACCTGGGAACACGCCGTCACTGGTTATTGCTGAAAGTAACTAGGGCACCAGCCCTTTCTCAGCAAATTGGTGATTAATGCTTATGAACAAGAAATAATTAAACCCAGGATCACCTGTGCAATCATGTCAAGCTCTGTAAGTGGCCGTAACTAATGAGGGAAAGGTATTATTATTATTTTTGCAGAAAAAAAATAATCAATCCTATCAGTGCTGGAAGGAGTGCAAAATTGAAGCATCGCCGTTTTTGCAACATCGGGTGATGTAATGATCTGGGAGTTACTGTCACTGGATGGAGCCTTGACCTACAGTGCTGATGAGGACACTATAACCTGGGTCAGGATGTCGCCTCCCAACCTGCAGTTAAAGCATATCAGTGAGAGGGACATGGCACATTCAGAGGTGCGTCCTGGGTTCCGTTGCACTCACACAATAAAAGATGAAAAACTAGGAGAGAGACGGTCAGGCCTGGCAGGTAGCCAGCCCACAGCACAATCCATGTGGTCTTGCCAATTTGACAGACTCGTTTTTGTCAGTTTGGCATCAGCTTTAGCTACAAGGAACAGGAGAAGGGGTGTGACAATGGCTCGGCATGTTAAGATGAGCTTGCTGCACAAACTCGGGAACCCGAGTTCAGATCCCAGCACCCACATCAAAGCCGGGCATGGTGGCGTGCCTATAACCCAGAGCCAAAGTAGGCAGACTCGAGGGTCCCAGGGACTCTCTGGCCAGCCAGGCTAACCAAAATAGCAAGCTCCATATTCTATGAGAGACCTCGTCTCAGAAAAATGAGGTGGGGGACGGTGAGATGGCTTAGCCTATGAAGGAGGGCTTACCACCAAGCCTGGTAACCAGAGTTTGACCCTGAGAGCTTAACATGGTGGAAGGAGAGATCCGGTTCCCTAAAGCTGTCCTCTGACTGCCACATCCACGCAGGCTACACCATGCCTATGTGCACACACCCTGGTTAAGCTTACCCGTTCTGTAAGTATCTGTAAGCGTCCATCCCTTTTCTCCTCTGTAGGCTGCCAGTCCTGGAGAGCAAGGCAGGACCATCTAAGATCCGTGTTTAAGGGTGGCAGTTTTGCCTCTCTGATTGGTGTTTGCAGGAGAAAGGTCAGCGTACCAGGGACTGGGCAGTGGGGGAACAGGGAAGAATAGAAATTTCCTGTCCCTTTCCTCATGGGATTTTGACAAAACTAAAGGTATCCTAGGAAGCTGGCCAGGACTCTTCTCTCTCAGGCCCTGCATGGCAGCAGGGTCCCAGGAGCCCCACTTCCCCAGGAACACTGTATTCT